TGATTCACTCGTTCGTTAGGATCGATCATTTTTACTCATAATAAAATTACATAACGAAAGATATCTACACATATTTACATACGTAAAAAAAAAAAAAAGAGAATAAAACGGACGATGAAATCTATAGATTTTTCACTCGGTGAAGATTCTAACAAAATACAAAGCCTGGGAGGCCTTTTTGTTTTCGAGTGCATAATCTGGAATCGGTAATAACGAGACCCGGATTACATTATTACTCCCTCCCTCTTTTTATGACTGACGTTTAAGAAATTTGCTTTAATGTACTTTTTTCTGTCGTTTTATTATCGCTATACAGTATTAATTATTTTTTCACAATTTTACCCTTTTATCTCTCCTTTCCAATACAGGATTCTTAATTACTACTCCTAGTAATTATTGCTCCTATCTTTGTAACAACCCTAGTAATTAATGAGGGTACAAAAGGAAAGTAGCGTACAGATTTAAGTAATGAAAAACTTTTCTTAATTGATGTGCAAAATCTTAAACGTCAGTTATAAAAAAAAGGGAGGAAGTATTAAAGAAATGAAGAAAAATGAATTGATCTCCTTTATCAATAAAAGCACGAGTTTGATTGGGTGCAATCCTAATCGGCAATTTCGCTTAAACACCTTTATTTCTTTTTTTAAAATTTTTTACCATGATGGATTAATTAAGGTCCCCTCATAGGTCGTATCTCCAAAAAGATTCAACGAACATTATTGAATTTTTTTTTTTTCGGGTGGTTCTTGCAGTGAAAGGCGGCTTGAGAAGAATTCATGATTGGCTTGGCAATAAACGTATCCTCTATTTGTCGGCTTTATAATTACTACTACTAGTTAAAAGTCATTTGTGGCTATGGACCTACGGTGACTGTCGTTTTTTTTGGTTGGTTGACCTACATTAGGTGGTGGGACCCACCAAAAGCCGGAGCACATGTGGCTATTTCTGTCAATTAATATCAACCCGATTACATTCGGAACTGTTTAAAACCATTGATTGGTGACCACAGCCGCCGGTAGCCTGTTGAGTAGCATCAGCAAAGCTTTTGAGCCGGTCCACTGAATTTTGTCTATTTCCGCTGTTTCCCACTCAACTTACGATTTAAGTCTCACATTCCAGCAAACTGAGCTTTCTCCTCAAGTTTTGTTATGGACGTCCTTCTACTGAATTACTACCATATATGTTTTATTCACCTCGCGCAAGTATGACTTTTCCCAGCTTCAATATCAAGAAGAATTTTATTCACCTCACCCCTCTGTTTATGCTCACACCTTTGCAATCTATTTTATGTTTAATCTAGCATTTATCCCCTGCATTAGCCTGGAAAAATATTTATTGTAATTAGTTATAAATTGATGTGAGGCATAAATAATTCATCGACAATACTTATGTATATCATTTATATTTACACCAAAAAATTATTGTATTCCAAACATTTGATTTGCCATATTAGTTTTTAGAAACTGTTAAGTACAATGTAATAATAATCATTAAATAGTATAATTAAAAACATGTATTTTTTGAGATAGCATTTAAATTTTCTCATCAGTGTGATTATACACCTAGTCATATTCATTTTCAATTCAAGGCAACAAACAATAATAATAAAGCAATCTATATTTACATGAATGATTGACAACTTTGCATCAAAGTTAATAAATTTACCATTTTAATAGTTAAATCCACAGTTTAAAAAAAAAGTCACCACATGCATGTGGACAAAAAATAACTCAAGTTAATTAAAAGGGATAGAAGTTGTTATGAGAGAGAAAAATTATGAGTAAAATTGGTTGGAGGAGACTTATATGCAAAAATAAGTAAAACCCAAATATACATTGACTCATTAATGCACTTCAACTAGACATGTTATTTTGGAGAGAAAAATTAATTAATTGAATTCAGAACTTTCATTGGTTAGACGAAGTTGGCAAGCGACGACTTGTAATGTAAAGAAAGTCAAAATTTACTTTCTCTTTCTAGTATTATCTTTGACCAAGGATGGATTCAATTGCATTGATTTTCCTCGTGTTCCCAATGTCTTTGTGGGCATGAAGACGAAGATTTACTGTTACTCCCTCCGTCCCACTTTGATAGTTTTATATTCCTTTTTTATCTATCCCAAATTGTAGTTCACTTTCCAATTGAAGAATGTAGTTATATTTTAATTTTTCTAAAATACCCTTATTCAATGTAAATAGTTGTTATTATAAACCTACCCTATTTAATGAGAGGTGATTCTTTTTTTACCATCAATTCAAGTTCCCATAAACTTGTATCATATTTAATGTGAGAATATTTTAGAAAAATAGCAATCTAAATTTACTTTTCCAACAAAGTTAACTACTTTTTCTTAAACTGTGTGAAAAAAAATAGGATTATCAAAGTGGGACGGAGGGAGTAGTATTAGTTTACGGCTACTTTTAGAATCCAAATTCATAGGAGCAAGGAGATAAATATAGCACATTAATACACACACACACACATATATATATGGATGGACAATTGTACACAGAAGGATTGTGGGAGAAGAGAAACAAAATCAATGATTTTTATATGTAATTTTAGTTAAAAATGAGTACAACAAGACTCATCAACCCATGATGGTTTGGCACTTCAATAAAACTTTTAGTATGACAAGACTCTTGCAATATATCCCATTTAAATGTGTCAATTCCACTCGATTGCTATTTAAGACAGCTTGCATATCATGGAGTTATACTTCTCCATTTCTTCTGGTTTACCTTAATAGCTAGTTTGGATGTTTAGGTTAGACAAGAAAAGATGGGAAATGTTAAGTTATGAAAGAAAAGAAAAGAATAAAAGAAAGAGGAGATTTCAATGTTATTTGGAAGTTTTAGAAGGAAGTAAAGTGATTTTGGATATATATATATATGTGTGTCAATAAAATTTCATTCAATAAATTTGTGAGAATAAAATGGGTAATTTTTAAAAATTTTGTAAGCTTCCATCAGTTTTCCTTTGCTTTCCGCTCGTGTTTTGTCCAAACAAAAATTTTTTTTGGTGCGGTGCGGTAGCAGCACTTGACATACTTAAAAGTCCCAAACGTAATAAAATCCACCTTTCTCTCATTTCTTTTCAATTCCGTTGAAATCTCGACCCCCAGACCAGGTACAAGAGAATAGGATGAGTGTCCTGAAAGAAGCATGCAACAACACTGCAGCAGCTGTCAACAAGATGAGGCTAATTGCTTAGAATATATGTAAAAAAAATATAAAATCGCACAAATGTATCTCTGACACACACCAATTCTCATTTTATATCTGCCGTGCTGATTAGGCACGGTTGCAGAACTAATTGTCAGAAACTCTGCAAAAATGTCAATAGGTCAGTGGCCCACGATTTTTTTTTTTAATTAGCCTGTCCCCAGCCATACTGACTGGGCACGGCTGGGGACAGGCGGCCAAAAAAAAAAAAAAAGGGCCAGCAAATGAGATATATTTGGGAACATGAATTTTGTAGCAAAAGTGAAACGAAAGGCCATACAAATTCACTGCACTAGCTGCCCTCTTTCTTACTTTCACTATTTTCTTTGCTATTTATTTCTTGGAAGAGATATCTAAACGATTTTATTGCACTAATCCTAATCAAAGATTTTGGTTTTATAAATTAAAGATTTTGCTGTGGAGTCTTATAACACTTAAGTTAGGAAGATCAAAATTTCAAAGTGGAAATGGAAGATTATTATATTTTTCAAACTGCAAATTAGTATAATTCTATGTACAATGAAAATTCAATGCTTGCTCAAATTTTTTGACGAACAACATGTGTAAGCTAATATATGAATATTTATATGTAAATTAAATGCAGTTTATACGCGACAAAATTCGTGAATAAGAATCCATATATGTAAAATTAATATACATTTTTTAATTTTTGCTAGTAATTAGATACATTTGTGACTAATTGGCATTCAAAGCTAAATTTTAATCACTGATTTTAATTTCTACAAGATGAAGATGGGTTTTAATTTCTTGGCATCCAAGCCACCTATAATTGTATCCATTACCTATTTAATAGGGTCATAAAACACACGAAAATTTTTTTAAAAAAAGTATCTACAGATATCATCAACGTTATTGTCACTTTTAAAGAGATATGGGGCATCAGTGCAGATGATTTACGGGAGTGCAATTAAAAGTCCAGTTCAGTTGCCACTGTCACTCATAACAAGTACTGGTACTCAACCACCTCTGAGCTTTGGTTTAGTACCCACGAAAAAGGACTACTATCCAGGTTCGAGTTTCATCCGTAGTGCAAAAATAAAAAATTTAAAATGGGTATCAGAACATTCCTTTAATTTTAGTTTTTACAGAATTTTTAGGTTCATTCTCCTATAAAATATGATAGATTAAGTTATATAAATATTAACGGTATCAGACAAAAAAAATACTAATACTCTAGACTCCCATTGTCACGAGTAAATATTGAAAATTTTTTTTTTTTTGGGGTGTCAACAAGTCTGAACGAGAATTTCGTCGCAGTTTAGACAGAGTCACACAATCAAGAAAAGCGGATGAAGATTTTCAAACTCTCGACACAAACAATGCAAAGATGGAAATGAGGCGCATTGGCGGGGAAGGATGGGTGCGGAAGTATATTAGTAGTATATTTTGTGTGGCAAAGATGAGCACTAGTCGCAAAAGGGCGGGCGGCAATATGGAAAAGCCGTTGCAGCAGCCTTGGGCGGTGGGTCCCTGACGGAGGATGGCACAACCATTCCTGGAGAATGGAGAAAGTTGGCGTTGGGAGGAAGATGGGCTCCGCTCCAACAGTGGTGGAAGTTTGTGGTCTGTTCTTTTTTGTTTTTTTTTTTAGCTGTAAAGTGCGGTGTGTTTTAGTCAATGGGGAAATCACTCATCAGCAAGTAGAGTTCCATTTCGAAATCGTTCAAAAGGGGAGATTTATTTCAGAAAATTCAAAGTATGTAGAAGTTAGTTATGCTGTCAAATCTGATGGTACTAGTTTTATGTTCTGGAGCAGGTGCAACTCCTAAGCTATTCATTCGGCTTTGAACATATCAGTAGTGTATCATGAAAAAGGAAATAGTAGGTAATTAGCAATGAACAGCAAAAAAATTTTACTCCCATGTAGCCGCCCGTGGAGCCGAATTTGTAACCGAGCATTGTCACGGCACGACCGCTCTCAAACGTGGCATTCTGACGCGTGAGGAGTTCCAGTAAACCCAGCAAGCAAATGCAATATACGGTTTCCTTATTTGTTTGTCAAACACGTGCCGGTGACCAAGTCACCATTCACCAATCAAATCCTACCTTTGCTCCCACAGCCACAACAGTGCCACCACCATCATCACCAACGGCAGTCCTCTCTCCCTCTGTTCCACAGCCAAGGAAGAGGATTCATCCAACAATTGATATAACCACTTTTTTTTTTTTTTTTTTTTAGGGTTTGTTTTTTTACTCCTAATAAGGAGTGTAGTACATGTATGTATTTGAACCCTCTCTTCACCTTCCTCGTAAAACTATAGCAGCACATTTGATTCTTTGATTAAACAAAATACAAAAATACATTTGATTGATTCTGCAAACTTTAGACCAGCCAGCCCGGAATGCCATTTGATTGATTTTCATTCGAGAGATACACATGATGATGATGATGATCTTTTGTCAAAATGAAAACAGCTGTCCCTGTCCCTACTGGCAAAAATTACTCCTGATTAGCTTTGCAACGCTAGGCGTGACATCCAAGAAGTCATCATCCATACTCTTGCAATTCTCAATCCTTTGAGGACAGAAGGATACGGCATACACAACACTTCTTCTTCGATTGATAGATATAGCACCTCTACTTCATCATTCATGTGATCTATCTATTATAAAATATACCAAAATGAGTATCAAAAAAAATATATATATACTAACAAAAAATCACACAGTAAAAGATAAACGACACCACAAACATCTCTGACATGGGACAAAAAACTTATAAATACTTTATAAACACCTCTAACAAAATTGCCGTCCGTCTTTCAAGGCTGGTGGATGACTCTCACACAGACACGTACTACGCTTTCTCACGCGACTATGAAGTATAAACGCTCCGTGTTCCCGCCAATATATATATATATATATATATATATGCCAACTTAACAATGACCCAACGAAAATTTTTTTTTTTTTGAAAAAAAAACCTCTAATTTGCATCTAATTACACAATTAGGCACCACATTCTTTTTTTCTCTTTTACATGACCAAACAGTCCACCAGAGAGCGCACTAAAGTTTGGATAATGAATATCTTATCTGACTTCAACCAGGAAATCATCGAAGTCAAACTCGCCGAATTCCTCGGCGTAATTTTTCCCTGACGGTTCCATCGGCGGCCAACTTAACGGGAAGTCAGCGCCCAAGCCCAGGTCGTCAAACTCCGGGAAGGGGAAATTACCAAACGGCGTCAAGCCGTCGCAGCAACGGAGAACCGAAGTGGCTGATGAAACGGCGTCGCTAGTTCCAATTCCAACCGAAACCTCTGTCTCCGTTTGACTAGTCGCATCATCATAACGGAGCACTGACGTGGGCGACAAAGCGACATATTCTGACGTGGCGCTTTCACTACTTTTGTCGCCCTGACACGTCCCACCGACCGTTCCTTTATGGATTCTACGGGAAAGTTGGTCACAGCGTCAGGGCCTTTCAGCTTAACGGCGGCTCTATCATAAACGGAAGCCGCTTCTTCTGGAGTATCGTAAGTCCCAAGCCATACCCGTTTCCTCTTCGTCGGATCCCGGATCTCAGCCGCCCAACGACCCCACGGCCTTTGACGCACGCCCCTGAACTTCTTCCGGCTGCTGACGTCAGGTTCCGCCGGCGGAGTCAAACTCTGATGACTTCTCTTCCCATTCCTCGGCTGCTCGATTTTTGTTGTTTTAGGAGGTGGGCCAAAGTTAATTTCCTCCACGTGTCTCTTTACTCTCCGCACGTTCCTAGTTTCCTCTTCGTCATCGGAGGAGTCGGTGGCGTCGGCGTCGGTGTATATGATTCTCACAACTTTTTGCCGGACGACGGTCAAAGACTGGCCGGAGGGGGTGAGTGATCTCCGGTCGTCTATGGGCTTGTTTGTGGTAACAACATGTTCTGAAAACTTGACTCTTTGTCGAGAATACATTGGAGATTGAGGGCTGATGCCTATTTCCATGAACTATGCAGGGAAATCTTCTTCCCGAGCATCAAGAAGAAAAGGGATTGGTTGGTTTTGCTATCAAAAGAATATAAGAAAGCAGGAGAGCAAAACCACTGGGAGGAAAGGAGGGTGGTTTTATAGAGGGGTTTATGAGTGAGTGAGGAGTGAACAGACTTTGGAAAAGGGGCAAAGGAAGTAAATAGGAGTTCTCAGTAAGAGGAGGTGGTGAAAGAAATCGACACAGCGATATTTAGCAAATGGCGGTTTGGTGACAGTAAAGGACAGGGAGAGAAAAAGGGGACCTGAGTGCTGGCTGGCCGCAGCTTAGCAGTTGGCTTATGTTGTTTTTGGAGGGAAACAAAATAAGTAACACAGACAGACACAGAGTATCAGTATTGTACTCTGCGGTTTTACAACTCTTTGCTCAAAGATTCCCATACCCCTTTTTATCTCTCTCTCTCTCTTGTTTGTTTTCCCTTGTTCCTACCCCTTTGATGTCGCAGCTCCGAACGGGATGCATCGGCTCAGTTTTTAAAGGGGCAGGAGAGAGAGAGAGAGAGAGAAGAGCAAGGAAAACCAAGAGCAGTGGACTGCGGCCCAGTGTGTCTGTATATTATAGTCCACGGGTCTCAACTATGGAGACTTGTGTGCAATGAAGTCTTGTGTCCAAAAGGACTTTGTTTGGATTGTGTTTTATTTGGAATATTTTTACTATAACACTTTTTGTGATGTGATGTGTGTGAGATAAAAAGGTAATTGGAAAGATAAAAAAGTGTATTGAAAATTGTAATGATGATGTAAGCAGATAAAATTGGGGAAATAAAACACAATCCAAACAAACCCAATTAATTTATTGAAAATACATAAACTACAATTTAGAAATTCTCTAATCGAGGATTGTTCTCAAATGATTGATTTTTTTAACACTTGTAATGTTTACACTTGTTTTTCAAAACTGAAAAAAAAAACCTTAAAAATCAAAAGTAACAAATTACGTGTTTCTGAATTCTAATTATGGCATTAAATGACCAGAAGCAATAAAAGAGTAAACTTATACTCCCTCCGTTCCACTTTGATAGTCCTAATTTTTTCACACAGTTTTAAAAAAAAAGTTAACTTTGTTGGAATAATCAATTTAGGTAGCTATTTTTCTAAAATATTCTCACATTAATTAGAGTACAACTTTATAAAAATTTGAATTAATAGGAAAAAAAGAATCAACTCTTGGGCTGGTGGCCACCACCAAGCCCTTAAGGCTTTGGTGGGGTGGGAGGTAAGGATTCAAATCCGGTGGTGGTTCTATCCCTCGTAGGTTCAGTTGAACCTCCCCCCGAGTTAGAGTAGGAGCAGGGATGACAATTAACAAAAAAAAAAAAAAAAAATTAGACTACTAACTTTCAGGGTGGATTTCGGTTTAACCCTTCAACGTATATCAAAATATCAATTTAACTTGAATCGTTTTTAGCTCATTCTAATCATATTTGGAAGATTGAAAATAGCAACAACAAAATCCTTTTTTTTTTTCAGATTAGAAGAGCGATACTTTATCCTTTACAGCTCATCTAGGCGAGAAGTTAATTGTTTTAAAGTCTCTGAAAAAATAGACTAGAGGTTTCAATTTATCACTAAAGTTTAGTCAAATATTATTGACCAAATATTAAATGAGAGGAGTTCTTATTCGGAACAAAATTTTCACTTCGAAAAGCTTAATTGATACTTAATCACATTCAAGAGTTGAATGAACCATTCGATCGACTTTGAAAGGACAAATCAAAATTCACCCGAATTTTTATTACACACTCAGATTCTTTCTCTTTCACTAATGGGGAGTCAGCAAAGGAAGTCGACTAATAACGGACTAATCTAATACTAGTGGTTCTAGCCTTCTAGGACAGTGGTAACGTCGGACGTAAGGTGGTGGAATTTCGCGGGAGGAGACTACAGCTGGCATTTTGTTGACGTGTCAAAGGATTCCTCTGATTCAAGGAAAATCTAACCAAATTCCTAGATTTCGCCCTGGCTTTTACCAAAGAAGCAGTAAGGTTTCGTTTGGGTTCTGTTGACTTTAAATAAAAATAATAATTGGAAGGAAATATCCTAGAAGGCGGCTGCCGCTTCCCACTGCCACCACGTCTTTGAAGTTTGAACCGATGGTGTATTATGCCACGGGGTGGGCCCGGCCCCGGTAGGGGGCGCAAATGCGTGGTCTGGCAGTGCACGCTAGATTCCCTCAGCTTCCCGCTAAATATTTATTCATGTTTACTACTACTGGTGCTTTGCTTCAGGCCCTATACTGGATTGTTTCCAGAGTTAGATATCAACCCTTGTCATCTTCCACGGAAGATAACGAAATGTGTGTTTTGACGGCCAGTTCATTTTATAGCTCGTACTAAACCTTGCAATTTAAAAATTTCTGATGCACTAAAAACAAAAATGTGTAAGGGAAAATTTTTTTTTTTTTTTAAAAAAAGGGGGAAATTGGGCCTTGTTTGGAAAGGAATTTTCTACAAAAAAAAAAGAAAAAATCTCTATATTTTTCACAAACATATTTTTCAATTAATTTTTTATCTCATATATATTAAATCGTTATAATAAATTTTTTTTACCAAAAAAAAAAACTCCATAAAATTGGAATTCAAACACGAGTTCTTGCCACAGTCTCGTGGACCACGACTCGTGTCCTTGACCAAATTTGCTTTTGCTTGGCAGACCGGAACGTTAGAAAGGTAAGTACACAGAAGTTTCCATGGGCTGGCGTTTCCCATAATTCAAAGGATATCTCTATTAGACAAGAGGACCAGTTTTTCCTGGACTTCATAAATCCTTCCCCAAAAGTCTTCATTTGTACGCTCACTCCTACCATCATCGGAGTAAACAATAGAAGAGTCTCATCGAAGAATTAGTGCACAATAGAGTCTCATCACTTAATTTGGGACGGTAGGATAGAATTATCTACCCTAGATTTAATTTTATCATCCAAGATTATTTTCTTTATCTAGCTAACTCGCATTCCAAATTATAGGCTGCATGTACACAAATTTTCATCTTTCGTGCACCCATCCTAAAAGAGAAAGCATAATTGCATTATTCGGCTTGGGATGTCGAGCATGCAAGAGGACCTCCTGCAACCGGTGACTTGGGGGAGCTGTTTCAATAAATTTACTTTAAAAAATCAGGAAGGAAAAAAAAACTGTAGAGAAGAATATCACTCACGGGAAGGACTTTAATTGAGCGAAAAGGCCACTCGAGAAGTTGGTCTTTTTCTTCTAGCTTGAAGAATAAGCAAAGGAAGAAGACCCCATTTGGGTACATGGGACGGCACATGATACATTGGCGTTAGCAATTATGCATCATGTTGTAAGTAAGTAAGATATAGACTCATTGCTTGTCAACCAAGCTATAATTATTTTCGGCTGCCGCCTGAGATATTGCTGCCATCTACTACTTAATTCTGCTCTACGGTCTTCTCGGACCAAAAAGTATGAAGGAAAAAGATGAAGTAAACCACACATTCAACTACTCCAGCACAAATTCGAGGCAGGAGCAGGAGGAATCGACACGTGTTTTGGTTGTGGATTCTGTGACAATTTAGGCACCAGAATTCAACTCTTATCACCACCAAATTGCAAGCACCACCATCCGGCAAATGAGGCCCTTCCCTTCCCTTCCTCTAATAATGGATTGCATTTACGGGTCGGGTCACGATCGGCCTTCAAATCACCTAACCCTTGCACAAAACGCTCAGCTCACATGATCGAGCCGTCATCATCAGACGAAATTATCATGCTTGATCAAGAATTGCTGCTGCTTAACGCCAGGCATATGTTCGTTAGTCTAACAAATACACTTACTATGTTTAAGGCACTAATCTTCAAGAGGATTAGTATGAGATTAGTAGTGCCATTTTCCCTAATGTTTAAACGTTACTGTCATTCTAGGGCTACATCCCCATCCCCATCCCCGCCACCAACAAATCCCCCAAATAATGTGATACGTTCAATCTGTTCCTTTCCTTCGATGTAGACGGCACCAAAGATACTACTGTCCCAGATGATTAAAATGAGCTCTCAAGGATGCACAGGCGGAGCCAAAGCTTTAGAGTTGGATGAGCAAGACTATAAAAAGATGTACGTACGCGAGAGGTGATATCTTCTTCATTTTTTTTTTTTTTTATAAAAAAAGAGTAGATAATAAACGAAGTACAACTGAAATTAAAAGGAATAATCAGTCAAGTACAACTAACTCATCAGTTACAAAAGATGAAATCCAGGAGTAGAAGTCAAAATGGGCGATCATAATCAAATAATAGTTATAATTGGGTCAATTCATTTCTGCTGATTTAATAAATTGACCAATTCATAATAGATACGAGCATATCTAATTATCTATGATTTTTTATTTACCGATTACCTATTTAGTAATAACCATTATCATGCGTAGCAGGTCTTACAAGATTTTGTTCTATATTTATAAGTTTAAAATGAGTCACACCCTGAACAAATGATGAGATTACATCCTATGTAAAATCGGCTCATACAATTTTTTGACAACCATTTGGGCCCCTGGTCCAACTGGCCAGAGCCATCAAGTGTTCAACTTCCGCCGATCCCCTCCAAAATATAGGTGGTGGCTGCCAACAAATCAATTTATATGAACTTTGATGGGAGGTTTGACAGACTTTTGGGCCTAGAGAGGAGAATTCGAAAGCAGGACAAAAAGCTGCCAAATGCGGAGAATGAGAGGATTTTTGTCAGGTTCAGAGACGCCGCTTTTACGATGCATTTCCCTTGTCCCAAAGGAAACACAATTCACATGATTGAACTCAGTGGCGAATGCAGTGAGGACAGGACATCACCACTCTCTCTCTCTCTCTCTCTCTCTCTCGTCATTGGCTTGGGATAAACGCTTCCGTTTACACTCACGAGTCAAGTAGAGACAACATGTGCAGCACGTGGTAGGATTATATGTTCGTAGCCTTTAATCCACGTTTACCCACTAAAAGTAAAGGATTTTAGCCTGGCAACAAATTCTCTCTACTCACCACATCCATATCCTGCCTGGCTAATTTGTATCGTTCTTCACATCTCTATCAAAATGATAGACAGCACTTTATGAAGCAAAGGCCAGCAAAACCCAAGTACCACCACCACCATCCCCCCCCCCCCCCAAAAAAAAGAAAAAAAAGAAGAGCTGTCGTACATTGTATCTTGCAGAATTTTTGTAGTGATCGTCCAACATTAGATTGTACTAGTAATCTACGACTAGGATTGACAAGGGTAATCACTTGACTTGTTTGGTCCTCAGGATGTTTCCCTCTGATTTTTCGCAGACGAGTTTTTTGGTCCTCCGGAAGTATCCCTCTGATTTCGCACGTCCAGTTCGTCTCCTTGGTCATCCCCAAGATTTTTTCGCTCTCTTTATCCTCCTGTCAAAAATTGGGTGCAGAATGAGCCCCAAGTCAAGGCTCAAATCATCTCCTCCACTCAACTAAAAGTCAGTCATGGGGAACAATCCGCCATGATCGCCTAGATAGTGAAGATCCTATACTTCATATGATCGCAGGACGGTTGACCCAACATAATACCTGCAAAAGTTTAGCATCTCAA